AGGTTAAGTTTAAAGTGACTGTGGAAATTCTGTGTATTACAAAGTTGTATCGAGATAAAGAATAAACTAGTTTTAATTAAGAAAAGACTTGTATCCCTGAAGTTCCTCGGAAAGAATTTATACCGGAAATTAACAAACGACCAGATACGTAACAGAAGCATAAAACTCATTCCATGAAACTACAACTGCATTTTTTACTATTTTTCAAGGTTACTTAGGTTTTAAGCTGATTAAGGATTAGGAATGTAACCACCAGCATTACATAGCATTTTAGCTTATCTGTTGAATTACAGCACGCCTAGTTTAGGAATCATTAAAATACTGTGAAAAATAACCATTTGTCTGTTCTTTGCGTAATAATTCATTACATTTTATTTTTACCTTTCTCTGACTTAAGCCGCTATGCGTGGGCGGTTTTCTAGTATATATGACAGATTAGGCCAATTGCAAACGCATTCCATTAAATGTATATATATATATATATTTGTGTGTACGTGTTATTTAAACATTGCTGCCCGTTTTCCTATTAAAAATAAAATAACGTATACATGCCCTACTTCGTTGTAAATCTAACGTAGGTGGAATAGAACAGAAAACCGAAAAATAAAATAATGTCCATGAAAAAGTTAACTCACCTGAAAAATAAAATTTTAACGTTTTTGTTTCTGCTGCACTTAACATTATGTTAAAATGAAATATATATATATATATATATATTATACAAAAATTATTAAAACAATAATTAAAAAACAAGAGTTTATTAGTTTAGAACGCGAGATATTTGCTTTTTCTCAGACATTTGTGTTACTAGGTTGTAAATAAGTTTTCTTAATTGTTTATTTAGATGATGAACATTGTTGTTTTTATAATAATGAATTGTTCTCAGATAGTTACGTATAAAAGTTTTGTTAACCAAAGTCCATATTATTGTTGCGTCTAGTTATGGTAACTGGCCTAGATTACTGTGTATTCTTTTATGTATTTTTTTTTAAAACACCAAATAAATCTCAAAATTCTGCCTTATACGGGGTATTACGTCACGTAAAGAAACGTATAAATTGAAAACTAAAAATGCATGAGGCATTGTGTAGGAATGTTATAAACTACTATAAATTGAATTATTTAAACTATATTTATTTCTCGGTGGCTGTATTTTCAGGTATATACATGGTGGTTTGTTCTCAGTCTGACAGTCGTATATATGTTCCATTACCCAACAAGAATAATTTCTACTATAACAATATTGTGCGAAAGACGGCGAAGTTATTCTCAGACCATACATCTTGAAAGATTTTCCACTGTTTAACGATATTCTGAAGATGCACCGGGAAGGGGAGGGGGGCTTTTGATAGACATCAGGTTCCACCTTCTTTATCATCTGTCTTTCTCATGAAAACAGCCATTGATTTCAAGATGTGGCTGGGTTAACCTTTGGCCTGCGAGTCTTAATTACCTTCAAAGCCTCCTTCGTTATCTTATTAACAGTACTATGAGATATGCCCAGCTTCATCACAATGTCTTTGGTCAGAGGATACTCTGTTATAGCTTGAACAGTGATTTTAGAGCCCGTTATTGCCCTAAATGTTTTTACTGTACGAATTTTCTCGTTTCCTTGCAAAAGAACATCTCAACCAACAATTGGTCCAGTTATCAACGTTATTTTCAAGTTTTGAACAACCCGACTTTCAAGATCTACATATCTACATGAACCCATGTTTCCATTTATGAACGTTATATTTTAAGATCTGTGCAAGAACTCGGCTAACAGATGGTTCCGTATATAAAATCTATCTTCAAATACTATTTTATGTAGTGTTTTATGGGTTGATAAGTAAAACCTGACAGATTTACTGCAAGCTTATGTTACAAATTTGTGTCAGTCCCTTATTAAATATCCAGCAAAGTAATATTCACCCACATGGGAGTAAAAAAAACAATACTTTTATTATACTTGTATTCATACGCAAACTTGAAATGCTTTGTTCCTTATTAGCTGTTTACTTCTAAAGTTCTTGTTTTATCTCGCGTACTTCGTGTTTAATTCTAATTCACGGGTTTCGTTTTCTTTTATTTGATTACTTCCGTGATTCGAATAAGCACTTCAGCTATATCAGAAAAGTTACACATGCTTCTGCCCAAATTCACTCCTGTAATAATTAAACATTTTCTTCCGAAATCATTCGGCCCTAGTTTCTTAAATTAGATGGATGGTTAAATTTTTATTCTCCAAGCATCGTAAAACTAGTAACTCAATGTTTTCCACAGGTGCCGTTGTTATTATCTGATTTACCTGTATAGTAGTACAATGAATTAAATAAACACACACATATTCATGTTATGATAAAAATCAATACTAACTGGCTCATATCTTCTACGTACTCAATAAAACATGATTTAAATAAATTTCAAGGGTTTCTTGTTTACTTGGTTAGCATATTACTTGTTGGTTTAACATGATCAGTAATTATTATTTATTGGTTTAACATGATTAACATATTTATTGATTTAACATGATTAACATTATTTATTGATTTAACATGATTAACATTATTTATTGATTTAACATGATTAACATTATTTATTGATTTTACAAAACGTAGATTAGTACCATTAATATGAGCGACTATTAAATATTTTTGCCCCCAAATAAGCCAGTAGTAAGTTCACGTACTTCTAAAGCCAAAGTTTGTTATTCGATTCGACGCGGTGGAGAGAGCGCAAATGCTCCATTTTGTAGCTTTGCAGTAAACAATATATATATATCTTTAAATTAACGAGCTTATATAAAGTGACAATAACATAGTTTCATACATTTCATTTATCAATTGCGAAGATAAAGTAATAATTTGTGGAAACAGACATAGCATGCGTTTGTGAAGAAAAATGAGCCCAAAAAAGTTGTGGAGTGAATGTCTTGACACAGTGGCCTATTTTTTACACTTGAATGGTCTGTCACGTAGAATAAAAAAAAAGATACAAAATTTGTTGCTCCTCTTTTGTTTGTTTATGGAAAAATTAAAGCCACGGAGCTGTAACTTTAAATGAGTTTTGTAATGTAAAACCAATAAGAACGTCAGCCTGTCTGGAACATTTGTAAAGGAGAAGTAACGAAATGCCTTCGGTATCTCTTCTATTCACTTTGGAAGCCTGCGTGACCTTAAAAAAAAAGGTATGCGTATAGGGATGAAAAAAATATCGTTTAGGGACGGCAGGACCGCCGAAAAGGGGGGGGGAGGGGATAGTCGGGGAAGTTGCCCCGGATCCCACCAAAAATAGACCAAAAAAGGCTCGGTAGAAAGGGACATATAAAAGATCATGGGTGGGCCTCAGGGCTCAAATCAGCTTTTGGCAACATCGATTATAAGAACAGTTTTTAAAGGCTTTCTTGTACCGTTTGGGGTCAGTGATCATTACACAGGTAACAGTCAGGTGCTGTAGAAAGGGGAGCGCTGTTAGGTTATTAAGCTGTTATATCTCTTCATTACAGTTGTAATTATGTCAGTAAGCACACGAAGGACCCAAAAAGTACAACATGGTAAGGTTTTACAATAAATATACAAGTGAAAAGGCATGATTTAAACAAAAACAATGAAATCGTCTGGACCTTTATGACAAACTAAGATTAGAGACTTAGCAACAGTTTTACTAACTTCAACCCCAACATCATATTGACCATTTATTAACTTCAGCCCCAATGTCCTATTGACCATTTATTAACTTCAGCCCCAATGTCCTATGGACCATTTATTAACTTCAGCCCCAACCTCATATCGACCATTTATTAACTTCAGCCCCAACATCATATCGACCATTTATTAACTTCAGCCCCAATGTTATATTAATCAGTTACCATGGAGATGAGCTTGACTTTCTTGTACATCTAGGATCTAAGTTTCCACAACGCGATAAGATGAGAAAATCAACTTTTCAACTTCTGTATGATTAATGTACAAAGTTATATTGACCATTAGCACAGACAGAATATGAGTTATATTTCAATAGGATATAAACACAGGCACTAACTTCCTCAAGCATATACACAGAACAGCAAATTGTAAGCCAGCTTATCGACTTTCGTCACGTGTACGATCACACACCCACTAAAAGTGGAAAAGATGCACATTCATAACCTAATGACTATTTCTACAGAGGTTTAGCAGTCTTCTGTTGAAACTCAAGGAACAGCTGATAACATAAAATAGCCAGACAAAGTCTGAAGGCAGGTAGGGATGTATACATAAATGTATCATAGGTAAACTTTTTACAATGTATGGTGAATTATTATTTGTAATATTAATTACAAACAATACACATCATTGACATTTTGGAAAGCAAAGCGAAGACGAAAAAACAACAGCTTTGGACACTATTAACACTGCAATTCGGAATTTGAGTTGAAGGGAACAGAATGTTAGTTAATCTACCCAAAAATTTAAGTTTATGTTCAATAAAATCAAGAAAGCTTGAAAAACAATTTGTTCCCAAATTACATGTTCTTTCTTATCAAAGTTGTTAAAGTAACATGACACACCAAGTTTGCTGTACAATGTTCTACCAGTTCTGACTGTAAAACACATTCATGACCTCTATTATTTTGCTTGAAAATAATTTTCCACTGAAGCAATTTCCTGCATATGAGCTGCAAAACATATATTTCAGACTAAAGTAAATAATGCAGTCTATTACTAAAGCAAAACTCATAAAACTTGTGGCCAATCTTCCCCCAAATACAGTATTTTTAAACCCTTTTACTGTACACTTTTGTTATATCTCATATTGGAAGCTTCTTCTGATAAACGAACGTCTTCGTTGTGAAGCATATAACAAGATAAAATGAAGTGCAAGCACAAACGTTAGTATATGTTTCCAGGGATCTGTAACATCATATAATCATTGGATGCAATCATAAACATTAGTGGTTCAAGAAATACTCCAAGAACATTTATTTAAAAACCTTTATTAAATATAAATACTGTAAATCTAAAGTATGCACACACACACATATATATATAATAATAATAGCTCATTCCATAAAAAATCCACTTTGCTTAGTTTCATGAAGAAAACAACTGACCTTGTAAATATCAAACTTTGTCCAAAAGTAATTTGTTAATAATATTGATACATGTCAAGCTTCAATTAACTAATGTTACTTACCATAAAACATTAGAAACTCATGTCCGAACACCTGAATATCTTTGTAGTCAAATCACAAGATGGGTTATTGTTCTCATATTTATTTTATTTCTTACAGAAAAAATATAACTACATGGTATTCTGTGTCCATACAATCTACAAATACTAAATACTGAGAAAGAGTTTATTACCATACTAACAAGTTTTTGTTTTATGTGTATGTTGACATTTATACAATTATAAAGAAAAACAATTATGTTAGTTTAACAGAGTATCTAAGAAGATGAAGAAACACAAAATAAATATCATCTTTCATCTAACTGAGGACCTTATTTTTGTTTATATATATTACTGAAATTACCAAGTTTACTTGATACACTCTTTTGAGCAGTAACTCACAGAAATATGTAACCTAATATTCCTAGTTTATGAAGCAACAGAGCTGACTCGCTTTGAACACAGAGGGAGCAAAGACCTCATATATATGCTGTTATATGTGTCATATGAGTTCTAATTATATAAAATATATTACAATATGATAATCCTGTTTCAATGTACAGGTTACCAAAAAAAAAGGAAAATAAACGCAGAATCAAATAAAGTTTGCATATTCAATAACATGTGCAGTGTTTGAGTTGTCTTTAACTCACCACAGTGAACCTATATTTGGGTGAACTGAATGACAGATTGGGCTTCATATTCATGTTTTTTTTTGTGTATCCAATTTCTTAATTTTTATATGCCAAATCGTTTTTATTTCTGAAAGTTTAATAAAAGCGATAATGTTTTTTTTTTTTTTCAATTTATTCAATAGCTTTGATAAATAATGTGCACTTTTATGATACATCTAACAATGGTTATCTTCGAATAAGAAGGCCTTCTCTTAAAAACACCTGCTAGTTCTTAAAAGTTAAGTTCAATTTCATAGCTAATCAAACAATAGTCGGCAGATATACCATTATTTGGGAAATGTAGTAACATTTTATATGTAGGTGTCACATTCACATATCACTTCAAAAAAACTAATTCTTCTAGCTATTTAGTTTGATGCATGTAGGGTTCAAATAAAGGGTGGGTGCGTGGGAAATTTCCACTTATTTTTCTCCACCATGAAGAGAATAGTAAGGAACCACAAAAATATCTAGAAAACTTTCACCATTTAGGTAACTGTACATTGTCAAAAGCTAAGGTTTGAAAAGATTATTATATGTATATATATAATACAAACTTCTGATATTTACAATTGACTTCAGTACTTCACATTTAGCACCCTTCACACAACAGTTTTATTTTACCAAACCATAAACAACAGGTGATAAAAAACCACATCTCCAAAGAAGCTCCCATTCTATTCCAATAAAAAAAAAATGTAATAACCTTAATGCTGTGTAAAACGTTACACATTTTATGTCCACTCATAAAGAAGGTCTCTGCTTATCGGATAATGTTTTAACAAGATGGGGCGTATAGTAAAGATCAAAAACAAAATGGTATTAGTTAGTTACAATTCAAATTAAATTTTGAATAATCACTTTCAAGATACCTAAGGAATATGTTTCAAAAACTATGACGTACCATTTTAAAAATGATGAAATTACAGACTCAGATAGAAATTAACTATATATTTATTATTTTATAGTACAAATTACAACGTGTACTAAACGCAAAGCCATTTGTATATGTTTCATACTTTTTAATCGAACTGATCTTTTAAACATTGAGTGTCCAGTAACTTCATCTTATATTGAAATTTGTCTCATAATTTTGCTAGTAATCCTCTGTTCCACAATAAGTTAAAGCTATGTTGATAATGCAGAGTTAAAGTTTTGTAAATTGTTAAAGAATATTTATTAAAACTTGTTTTATGCAGGAAATGGGGTGACTGTATACTGAATGGATCAAGTATTATATATATTTTAATTGTATAATCAGTCTGCTTTCGTAGACCTAAATAAGTGTTTGACAGTAAAAAAAACAAAGTGACTGCTTATAGGGAAAATGATATGTGTTTGATGACTTCACCTACCTAAAACACAGCTAAACAACGTTCTATATTATTACATGTTCTTCTTTCTGATCTTTCCTCCACTTTTCTTCAGCTTCTTTACGAGCATCTGGCACCAGCTGGTTTCTCATCCCACCAAGAACGTTGGAGGTAGCTTGTGTGGCAAGGATCACAGGTTTTACCACAGTTGGTGGAAGCTGTCGAAGAACTCCACCAACAGCTCCTGAAACTCCCTTATGTTCATGCTCTTCTGAAGCCACCTTCATTATCATGCGAGCAGCATCTCCGATACCCTGAAATGTTTGAACAGATCAAAAGATATATATGAATTAGTATACAGAACAAAAATAATATAAAACAAATAGTTAAAACTGGTGAACAATAATAATAAAAAGCCAAATTAAAGCAACAGTTTGGCACTTTTGGTAAGATTATGGCAATCAGATATCAACTGTTCTCATGGTTAAACTAATTATTAATAAGTTTGTTTTTTAACATTGTTATTAAATACTAATTACTAATTAGTTTATATCCTATGTTTCAGCTCTTCCTCTATTGCCATCTTCAGGTAATCCTGAGAAATACATATTTTTCTGTGGTGTTATAGGCCAGGATTCAATCCTGGGTCTCCTCATTAGAAAGGCTGAGGTACTCTCTACTCTGTTCTTCCCTGAAGACAACAACAGATGAGCAGTTAAAATGCAGTAATTATTAGTAATATATAAGTAACTAATTACTAATTAGACACTGAAGCAATTGTAAAGAAATGGTGTAGATAATACACACAATCAAATAAGGAATAGCCTGCGACATAAATGTACGTCTAAAACTAGCATGAAACAAACACAGGAGTTAGCTAGGTTCTGCATATTTTTAATCATATTTTGAGATGTTTTTATTAACATAATAATGTTCTTACACTGAAAAAATACAAATACTTAAAGAAGGTTGCATTTGAAAGAGCTTAATATCTTAAATTTTAGTGAGTATTCTCTGTAAGAACAAAAACTTCAATTTGATATATTATTCTTTCATCAGATATTCAGAAGATAAAAGATGTTACATGTAAGAAGTAAAAACCAGCACTCAATGAGATCTTGAAATAGCCATCTACAACAGTTGAATATCCAGTTCTTTATGGCTTGACAAGGCAAATGCATGTGTGGCAAAACGGTGTTCCTAAATCTGACTCACCTTTAAAAGTCAACAAACTGTTGCCTTAGACAGCCTTCAAATGTTACTTCAGCAAGTTATGATTTTTTTAGTTCAGCTCTATTAATCATTTCACTATTTTTCTAAGTGATCTTGCTCAAGTACTTATTCTAATATTTTTAGGACTTAATAAATAGTTTCTCTGTCTGTTCTTTGTCCAGGCAGTCCTACTAACAAACAGAACTATGAATCTTTATTTTGTAATGTTTCATATGAAGATGTTTGTTTATCTACATACACTGGCAACTTTCAGAACAGCCTATATTATTATTCTGTGATGTCACAACTTTGACCAACAGCTATCTGGATATATATACCATTCCTGTACATTGTTCATCTGGAGTATTTAGCATTAACACATGAACAATTTGTGTTTTTAGCTAATTACTTTCACAGTTATACCACCACTTCCAACTACTTCTGTTAAGAAGAAAGCAGTGGTGTTTTGGTAAATCTAGGCAAATGGATCCCTTATCTCATTCAGTTTCTTTAGTATATTTAGACCCTTTGATAACTAGAATGATACTTTCTGATGAATGAGAAGAAAAAAAATTAGTGTAACCCTAAATTAAACATTTTTAACTGAAACAGAATTATCTTACAAATATATTATTTATCAATGAATAACACAATATCAAGTACCTCTCGAACAACATGAAATGCACTTGTCATGCCTTCTCTCAAATCTGCAGGGTGAGTTCCTCGTCTACGAAATCCTCGGTGGTGCATCTTAACACTAGGCCCAGGAGAAACCATGTCATAGGTAAATTCTGCTGCACTCTGTAAGGAACAGATTTGTGGTTTGAATAGAAAAAGTAGATGAAAGTTGTTCCAAATAGAAAATATAGAGAAGTTAATAATAATTAAGAGTCATTATAACAGAGAAGTTAATAATAATTAAGAGTCATTATAACAGAGAAGTTAATAATAATTAAGAGTCATTATAACAGAGAAGTTAATTAAATTAAGAGTCATTATAACAGAGAAGTTAATAATAATTAAGAGTCATTATAACAGAGAAGTTAATAATAATTAAGAGTCATTATAACAGAGAAGTTAATAAGAATTAATAGTACCTGTAATAGAGAAGTTAATAAGAATTAATAGTACCTATAACAGAGAAGTTAATAAGAATTAATAGTACTTATAATAGAGAAGTTAATAAGAATTAATAGTACCTATAATAGAGAAGTTAATAATAATTAAGAGTCATTATAACAGAGAAGTTAATAAGAATTAATAGTACCTATAATAGAGAATTTAATAAGAATTAATAGTACCTATAATAGAGAAGTTAATAAGAATTAATAGTACCTATAATAGAGAAGTTAATAAGAATTAATAGTACCTATAATAGAGAAGTTAATAAGAATTAATAGTACCTATAATAGAGAAGTTAATAAGAATTAATAATACCTATAATAGAGAAGTTAATAAGAATTAATAGTACCTATAATAGAGAAGTTAATAAGAATTAATAGTACCTATAATAGAGAAGTTAACAAGAATTAACAGTAATTATAACATGCTGCTGAATCAACTACTGACAATAAAAGTTTATAATATTAAATTTTATTCAAACTAAAACACAAGAAATAGTATCTACTGAAGAAATGAAATTTTATTCTGCTAAAACATCAAGATTTACGATGGTTAAATATAACGAAATGTAAATGTGTTACTATTTAAAATGAAATGCAGATAAGAAACATCAAAGGTTACCTGAGAGGTATATTTAACATACAGGAATTTAATGGGGCAGTTAAGACTTACGCAGTACATCTAAATTACAATTAACCATCACAACAAACCTGAATTGTTTCTACAAATCGACTTGTCAATTCCAAACAAGCCATTGCTGTAGATGTTGTAAAGGAACTGGCTCCTCGCTGAATACCTCGAACAATACGACCATCTTGTCTGTATTGTAATTGGGCAGTTAAGACTTACGCAGTGCATCTAAACTACAATTAACCATCACAACAAACCTGAATTGTTTCTACAAATCGACTTGTCAATTCCAAACAAGCCATTGCTGTAGATGTTGTAAAGGAACTGGCTCCTCGCTGTATACCTCGAACAATCCGACCATCTCGTCTGTACTGTTCCACTGGAAGCCAGAACAGGTCTCTGATACCTTGAACTGGAGATGTAACAGATATAAATATAATACAATCTGTTGTAGAACTGTGAGATTTAAATAACTTTAAGTTACTAAATCTAATAGCACTTTTATACATTTTATAGTTGCATATTGGTTTAATGATATACCTATCTATCAATTTTACATAATTTAATGTTTTTCTTTTTGTAAGTAAGCTGTTATTGTGTTTTGGAATGAATTATTTTAAGTTCAGTATGTTCCTCACTAACCATTAAAAACTAAGTCTCTTTCAATCTCACTTTACCCACAGAAGTTTGAGATAGTTAATATTTTACACAAACCAATGATACACAAAATGATAATTTTTTTATACATTATTATTATCAATGAATACCCACTACCGTCCAGCTTAAAAGTTATTAAGTAATCACACCACTTTTAATTCCTTTCTACTCACACAGTTGCACAATGGAGTGCATTGGGCCTACTCCACCTAGAAGACTGGGCAGTTGATTTTTCTTGATGTCTGTTAACCATTCAGACAAAGCATATGCTAAGAGTTTATCAACTCCCAACAACCTGGAAAACAAAATGACCGGTCATTTATTTCACACTTCTACTGAAGACATTTTAAGATATATGATACTTTATACGTATGTATGTGTTTAGGTTATACCTATAATGTCTGCTGGTATATTTTCTAAAATGTTGCTGTCAAATTTGTAGACATAATTAGTCGAAATGAGTAAAGAAGAAATTAATGGCAAGTTGAAAAAAATAGTTGACGATTTCCTAAAGAAATTAAGCAGAAATTTTGACAAAAGGATAAAAAAGAAAGATGAATTATGATTAGCAACAAACACTGAAGGTTTAACTGGAAGGGACTCAGGCAGAAAACATATCCTAGGAAAGAAATTATGATCCACAGAAAAAGAGTAAAAGGAAAACATTCTGGCAGTATATTTCATTATTTTGGAAACATTATTAGAATTTTTTTTTAAAGAAAGAAATTTTGAATTTTGGAGAAGACTTTTGCAGAAAGTTTCAGTAAATTATGGAAAAAGGCAATTCAAAATTTCCCCATTGATCACTTTCACATTTTGTGAAACAACTAATGAGGCTATTTCCAATGAGGAACAAGGAGTTAGAACAAGACTAGTAGTGGAAATATTGAGGACTGAAATTGAAGTTTGGCAGTTAGAGTGGAAAATCAAAATATAAAATTGATTTGAAAATGTGAAATTTATTTAACAAAAAGTTATACATAAAATCTTCAAATCATTACTGCATTAGTCATATAATATCATTACTTAAAGATCGGTATATTTCAACCAGATTATGAAAACACAACTCTTTACATATATTGATTTGAAAATGTGAAATTTATTTAACAAAAAGTTATATATAAAATCTTCAAATCATTACTGCATTAGTCATATAATATTATTACTGAAAGATCGGTATATTTCAACCAGATTATGAAAACACAACTCTTTACATATAACGTACATTTCATATTACAATCTTAACTATTTTATTACCCTAACTGACTTAGGTTACTTATTATTTATAAACAAATCATACTGGTCATATTTGATACAAAAACTAGAATGTTCAGCAAAATAAAATGCACCTTTAATGAGAATTTTTAGTTTCTTACAGAATAAATAAAGGACATTGTAATATGAATTTAAATAAAAAAAAATACTCCAGAGGGCATATACTTCGTATTCCTATAACGTGTATAGATATGAGATCAAAGTTCAAACAGCCTAAAAAGCAACAAATTATTCCAAAAATTATTTTGGATTTTTCTAAAAAAAGTGTATTTTAGATGAATTCTTACATTATCAGCTGTTTAATAGAGAACTATATTGAAACGTTTCATGTTAAAGTACTTACATGCTAAGTTAAATCAAATATATATTAGTTGCAATTGCTTAAGCCAGAAATATTCCAACATTCATGGTTCTGACATAAAAACATGCATTTTCCATGAGACTTTTATTACCTGTAATATGAAAAACTGAAATCCCGAAGCACTACTTATACATATCTTACCCTAGTCTATAGCACAACCTTTTTAACCTCAGTTCAGAACAATTAAGTTGTCCAAGTCCCATCAACAGTCCTGCTAGGGCACCCTGAAGAGAAAAAGAGATTGTTGTTGTTTATGATTTAATTTATTAGATTAAAAAAATAATTAAAATCATAGTAGGTTCCTCACTAAACATTAACCTCATAGTTTAAGGACAGCTAATAAGGAGCATTTATAATTATGGAAGTGGCATAATAACAAGTTTGTTCTACTATTTAAGTAGTGAAGTCATTGTAATTCATGATATCTGCTCTGAACACTGACCACTATAGATATTATGAATTACCCTATGTACGACATCCGAGAAGATTACGCTATTCTTTATAAGAAGCTCTCATTCAATGCCTCCATCAAAGTGAACTACAACCTTTAAAAGAGCCTGTAGAAGCTTCTACTATTGATAGTGATGATTTAGCTGTAACAGTTTCTATTATAACCCTTTCCTTACTGACATTTCTTAATGACTTAACTATTGGTAACCATGTGAAACCTGTACAGACAGCAAGGAAGACCGGAGTACGAACCCAATGTATTCAATCTGTTTTTCTTCAATCCGTCAGCCAAGTGAAATGGTATATTACTTAAAGTGCAAGAATTGCATGTATTTGTTGGATGACACGAGTATATAATGAAAGTTCTAAATGCACTAAATGAAGAGTCATCAACAATCAATGCTATAAAAAGTGCAATAGAAGTTGAAGAATTCACTCTCTCAACACAGGCTTGGTCAATTTGACCGACCACATGAACTCTTTGTACTCGTTTAGTCTTTATAGATTTAATACTTCTAAAAACCTACATACGATTTACCTTGGCACAGGACCATTTGACACCATTTACACTTCAGCACTGGACAGGATAGAAACCTACATACGATCTACCATGGCACAGGACCATTTGACACCATTTAGACTTCAGCACTGGACAGGATAGAAACCTACATACGATCTACCATGGCACAGGACCATTTGACACCATTTAGACTTCAGCACTG